CGTGAATTACAGTGACACATTTTTAATGTTTTGAGATCTATTAGTTTGTAGACGGGGAATGATTTAGAACTTCCACTCTACCCGAAGTAGTTTAATTAATAAATCGTTCAAAATTTCCGATCTTATTATAGCTTCATCAAAAACAACGGTGTGAAACTACTCTGTGACTGCATTTCAAAAGTGGATTAATATTTTCTTTTTTTTAATGACCCCTGTTAAGGCGTTTTTTTAATTATTATTGCTAAGATGGGTGTACGAGCTCACAGTCCCCCTGGTGTTAAGTGGTTACTGGAGCCCATAGACATCTACAACGTAAGTGCGCCACCTACCTTGAGATATAAGTTCTAAGGTCTCAGTATAGTTACAACGGCTGCGCCACTCTTCAAACCGAAACGCATTACTGCTTCACGGCACGGCAGAAATAGTCAGGGTGGTGGCACCTACCCATGCAGACTAACAAAAGGTCCTACCACCAGTAGCAGAAATAGGCAGAGTGGTGGCACCTACCCATGCGGAATCACTAGAGGCTCTACCACCAGTAACAGAAATAGGCAGGGTGGTGGCACCTACTCATGCGGAATCACAAGAGGCCCTACCACCAGTAACAGAAATAGGCAGGGTGGTGGCACCTACTCATGCGGAATCACAAGAGGCCCTACCACTAGTAACAGAAATAGGCAGGGTGGTGTCACCTACCCATGCGGAATCACAAGAGGCCCTACCACCAGTAACAGAAATAGGCAGGGTGGTGACACCTACCCATGCGGACTCATAAGAGGTCCTACCACCAAAAATAAATCGATATGTTACATTCTACCTAGTCAGGTCATAAATTCTGTCACATGTTTAATGTAAAATAATTGAAACAAGTTTATTCATTATGTAACCATTCATATACCAAAATGAACTTAACAAAACATAGATTCTTATGACACTAAAGTTTATTCAAAATGACCTCCGTGATTTTGAATACAGGCCTTCAATCTGCGCGGCCAATCGTCTATCGCACCACGAACGAGGTCCATGTCAATATCGGCGGCTGCCTTAATCAAGGATGTCTTGAGTGACTCCAAATTGGGATGAGGCTTTGAGCACGCCTTTTCCTCCAAGTGTTGCCATATCTTGTAATCTAACGGATTCAAATCTGGACTGGAGGAGGGCCAGTCTTCGTGCCGGATGAAGTCGATTTCACGCGCCGCCAGCCAGTCTTGTGTGCTCTTCGCTCTATGAGCTGGCGCCGAATCTTGTTGGAATACCCAGTGCCTGTTATTGAACATGGTATGAGAAACAGGTTCCACAAGGTTCGTCAGGACTGTATTTTGATACACAACTGCATTCGTTTTTACACCTTTCTCACAAAAATGTACCTCTGTTAAGCCCCAATAAGAAACTCCCAACCATACCATGAGCGGGGATGGAAAATGACCTCGTTGGACACGCGGAATACGGTTGCTTGCTTCTTCACTACTGTGTGCGTACACCTTATCATTTTGTTTGTTGTAGCTCTCTTATACGGTAAAAAATTTTTCATCCGAAAAATTTTCTCGATATTTTTTTCCCGCGTACCGCTTCAACAAAGCGCGGCATCTCTTCAGTCTCAGGTCCATTAGACGAGCATTCAAACGATGTCCTGTTTTTCTTCGATATGCCCGAAGCCCTAAGTCTTCATTTAACACCCTTTTCACCGTGGTTCTGCTTAACCCCATCTGAAGGGCCAACAGTTTTTGCTTACGTTTGGGATTTATTTGAATTCGCGCCTTCACAGCTTTTATCACTGCTGGAGTCCTAACAGACCGAGGGCGACCGCTTCTTGACCTGTCATCTACACTAGAGTCTTCATTGTATCGTTTGATGGTACGATAAATGAATCTTTTGGTTATATTCAAATTTTTCAGTATGTTAAAAATTGGAATTGGCGCGTAACCGCAACGATGCAACGCAATAACTGCAACACGGTCTTCTTTAAGCGTCCACTCCATATTCAAAAATGACTAAAATTCTAAAAGTATACATTTTATTTTCATGAATAATTCGAAATTCGAATTCAATAAACTTTTTTGTGGCCAGCATTCTAAAAGAAAAGTTTTTACTGTGTGACAATACTTATACCTGACTAGTTATAATAAATTATCAAGTAATCGTAAGTGTAATGAGCATGCCTTTAACAAGTCTGCGATTTATTGTATGGCCTCTATTACATTAGGCATCTCCGAGGCAGCCCGTTATTAATGTACGTGGCCTAATGGAAACTGTAACGGCGTGGTCTTTTATTATCCTGACGTCTTATTATTTGACCGTGCTGTATTATTCAGGTGTCTAATATTTATTTATTTTTGAGTTTATAAAACTATTAGTAGTTTCTGGGCCTCATTGACTATCATCACAGGCGCTTGGATTAGTTTCCTGGTGGGTGTCAGTGGCTTTGTCCAAGATATTTAGGGTTTGTGTTTATTATATTTCCTTCCATGTGTTACCGGTTTTTTCCCCCTACCTATGCTGATAGCCTTGAGAGGTTATTTTAGCTTCTCCTTGACGTGTAGATAGGAGCTCACGGGGCTCTAACCGGGAGTGTTGGTAACACTGGCCCTAGCAAGAGCAGTGCTTCGCAGAATCTACCACCGGATCAGAAACGCGACCCACTGAGAAGATCCGGCGAGAAACTCAGTGGGCTGTGACTATGGGTTAGTTCACTCGTCGAGCCCTACATAAAGCGGCGGGTTTGGCGAGGACGGTGACCGGACCTTGTGGTACCTAAAAGCACCGTTAATGGATCGGGATGATCCGTAATGCCGTGCTTATGGCGATGTCGACTGTTTGCCATTCGGTCTACAGGATCGGGTATGAGTTACCGGTACTTATATGTAGCTAACACGGAAATAAATAATACCACGGGCCAATTGGTACAACCTTTTCTAAACTGCTGAGTCGCTCTGCTCCATAGTTTGCAAAATATGTCTTTGGCAGTAACCGATTCGTGATCTCGATCATCCATTTGCGCAATAAAAAAATGTACGCAATCCATTTTGACAACTTTCTGAAAAACCTAACACTTCAAGTCAGTGTTACGTACATGGTATATGCTATAAAGCGTTCGTACTAAATTTAGTATTTCATTACGAGTGCTATATCTAAGCGGGTTGAAGCAATAAAAAGGAAATGAATATCCAAGAAGAAATCGCCTTACATCCCTTCACGGTAAACGTTTCGGGAGGTTTTATTTCAATGGTAATGAGGACCAGACTATTCCGGCTCTATACATCGAAGGTAAGATATAGCGAAGATCTAAAAGGGGAGTTTACATTAATGCGGCCAGAGTTCGAAATGAAGCTTTTGTATGCGGTATCAGGTATAGATAGGGTGACTTCGAAATGCGAGTAAGAAAGGCGTGTCTTCATTCACAAATTAGGTCAATGGTCGTAATGGAAAATCACTGAAGTAGCAATTGTGTTACTGACCTACTCGAATATTTATTTTTACAACTTCGGCATGTTCTGCAGTAATTTTGTTTAAAAAAACATGCGACATTAATTGAGAAACTTCTTTTAATTTGAAGTCGATTAATAGGCAACTAACACGGTTCGGACCTATGTATGAATTTTTATATAAATAGGTATATATTATGTATTCTTCTCGTGGCTCTCTTAGTGTTTAGCAGTTAATAGATGGCACCTTTGACCTCCAGACTAGATGACAAAGGCTTAAGTCTATTTTAATAATGGTTATTCTTCCTTTCATTCCGTAATATTTAACTGATTTAGGTCAGAAAAAGGCAGGATTTTGGTACTAATATCGATGAACCATGTGAACCTTAATGAACCTATTATCAGAACCTATTGATCCAGCCTGTGGTATTAGTAGAGCGGTTTGCTCGAAATCAGGGTTAGTTTGCACGACAAAGGTGACGGTGATACTCGTAAATGGAAATTAGTCACTAATGCTTTTTGCGCGCCTTTCACAAGGCGTAGTCTTCCGGCAGGAATTGGAAGCAGAGGAGGACCCCGGTCTTCCTCTTCTCCCTCTTCTTCTCTGGAGGCGCGGGAGTCCGACATAATTCGGTCTGTTACCCCTCTCGACCGGGTATCCATAAATGTCCTCCTCAGCGTTAAAAAAAGGGTCATAAGCAATTTTCTTAAATCATGTTAAATTATGTAGGCATAACTTGCATTAGATTTGCCTTAATCTTATCTCTGTATGAATTTGGCCTGAAATTAAAATATTGTTTGTTGTTGATTGTAATACGTACATTTAATATTGTTTCGTGTTGGAGTTCAGGATAAAGAATAATTCTTCACCGAAATACTAATTAAAATAACAATAGCATTAAATAGTAGAATATTACGAAAAATTGTTACCTAATGAATTCACTATCACGATTCACTTCTTAGTTTTCTTGAGGTGATTCGTTCGTCGTTTCGCTTCGAACAGAACTGTCTTCGTGTAGCCTATCTCACGCTTTTATAGTCATTGGGACTACAAGTTTCCAGAACATTCCCAAGAACACTCTCGATACAACTGGAATTCGAGTATGCTCTGGACTTATCTTGCTTATGTCTATGTCTATGTTTATGAGTAATAATTGTGTGTGTTGAATCTTAATTTATGTAGTTTAAACAAGCTTCCGTACCAAGTTAAGTAATGCAAATGCAAAAACATATTCTCAAATTTAGCATGTCATGTTTGTGTAGGCCTTTTTATTAAAATGAAGGGTTTTGGTTATTACCAGCGTTACTTTTATACTCGGTGGGGTTAACGCACTCATCGTCTGTAAATGATTACGGGCTTTCCGAATAATGCACGTACACATATGAGTAGGTAACGCTCTTACAAGCCGCCGTTAAAAATCGTGCTTTCAAAAGCACCGAGATTTTTTATTAAGTATTCATGTGGACTATTCAGTTTCATTCACGATTCATTAGCTGAGTTTTTCATGTAATTTAATAGATGGAAATTCAGATGATAATTTTTGGTTCTTTTTTGGTTGGGATGTAAGTAAAAAAAAATACACTTTTATCATGTATCTATATTGGGGATCTTAGTTATATAATTTGTCACTAATTCAGTAATTAAATTAAAAACTACATGTACAAAAATTGGTTTTATATACACAAATTTTCATGCAACTAATCTTATTCTAAATGGTAAGTAGGTATAATATATTCGCAATATTCTCAGAATTTACAATACAATCGACATCCATGATGTAATTTTTGACACAATCAAGAAGACATACATTTTATTAAATATTAAAACCTCATATACGTTAAAGTTTACACCGCGAAATCGCTATTAAAATTACAAGTAACAAATTTAACAACTACTCATTTGCGAATTAATAAAAATTGACAATCATCAATGTAAAATTTCGTTCATTATTTAAATACATTTGAACAAAACTCCTCGATAGTGAGATGTTATGTAATTATTTTATGTATCAGCAAAACGGGACCTCTGATATGATAGTCTCCAAATATTTTGCTTGAACTTCGTTCGTAAATTGAACGTGGTGCGTCTCCGGTAGAGGCGACGCAATATTGGCACCGTCCTAAGATAACATTAACACTATACGATATTAAGTATTGTTTATATTTACACACACACACAGACGAATGAACGTTTGGCACACATAGGCGTTTCACGCTTACACCCTGGCCTTCATTCAAGACTACAGTTTTCTGAGCAAATATAGGTATGCAAAGAGTTATCTACAGAATTTCTCGTAGCCTCACCTACGATAACAGTCGCTTATAATAAGGTGAGTTCTTATTCTAAATATTTACATCTCACAATCAGTCGTAATTTTTTTATGTTTGGCAAATCGATCTTTTCTAAGTAGTCAATTTAATTACATAATAAAGCTTTCGTAAAACAGAATGTATAAAATTGCAAAGGAATTACTTGTTTGGCACTGCACGTCCTAAATAGGCCGGACTAATTGATATTAAATTTCTCATACAACACTCGTACTCTATAAGGAAAATGTATATGATGATAAAGTATTTCACAACCTGTCTTTGATGTCGGTGATAATTTTGATATTTATACAGTGTGAATTGAAACAGATCTAAACGTACTAGAATCAAGACTTTAAGGGTATATTGTCAAAGTTTTGTCAAGTCTCAGTTAGCAATATTTCTAAAGAAATCTAGAAGTTGCTGTCGTAGTCGGAGCGTCGTCGCGGGTAGTGAGCACGCGGGTATTCGCCCGTGTAACCGTATATTTGGGATCCGCCTCCTGTCTGTCCATATATTTGGGAAGCACTGAATCTGAAAGTAGAAAGGTATTTTGGAAATAAGCCAAACGCTCTGAGCAGTTTTTAAATATTGATAACCTATAAAATCTATGGTGTTTTCTTTTATTTTAGAGATTCAAAATTTGCTAGTGGTCGACGTATTTTAGGATTACATATCTAAATCCGAGGTCACATCTCTAGGATCGTAGAGACACCTTTTTAAAACGATTTATTGCGTAGATATAACAAACATGCTGCTGGTATCTACAACTACCAAACTTATAATACTCCTTGTATCAGTACAGTCCTGTTATGCTTATTGATGTTCCTTAAACACCGCATTGATCGTTTACATCTATAATATAAAATTGTGAAATTGTTTTTCTTACCCATAACCATTGTTCGTTGGACCATAAGTTTGTGATCCCCGACCCGAATCTGGCGTATAATGCTGCATATATTTCTGTAATTGCGGCGTCCACTCCGATCGCCAAGAGTCACCAGGGTTCGGGTATGCTAATTGCTCAATGAAAGCAGTTGACATACGCTGTGAAATAAAATCACATTTAGGGATAAAATGTACTGAAACCCCTTTTATGATATGAAGGGGTCAGATCTTCTGAGATGATTTGAAGAGTTCCATATTTTAAATTTCAGCCATATAGATGTATGTAGATACGTAATTTAAGCTTTTCAATCTAGAAATGCAATTCTTTTAATCTTAAGTGAGATCTTTATGGTTGTCCCAGCCACACAAAAAACTCAAGAAATTTAGTATTAGGCATTAAAATATTGTGAAAGCTTATAGTTTTACTACCTTTCCTGATGGAAGATAAGGTAAGTCCCGTTCTTTTAACTGATGCATGTCATCAAAGCCACCCATATGACTTTTGTCTAAATCTCGAAGCATCTCTTCACTCAACGGTATAGGTGCTTTTGCCTTGGCACTTTTTTGCCGATTCACCAACTAAGATAAATGAACACAGGAAAATTTAGTAGTATCATAATACATTTAAATTAAATAAACGAATATACTAAAGGAATTATTATAAAATATGTTTTATTGCTTACGACTGTAACTCCAAAAATGACGACGAATAGCAGGGAGGCTAATGCTATGACAATAACTGCAATGCCCCATTGAGGTAAAAGTGATTCTTCATCAGGAACCACCATTGTAGGCTCATCACGCTTCGGTAAAACTATAAAATATAATTTAAAAAAGTAATAATATTTAAGATAAGCTAAAGCTATTAAATCGAAAAAGAAACATTTTACCCACCAATGAATTCCGTATATGCAGGATCCATAACAAATTTACCTATCTCTAATTTTCCTGCCGATTTATCTATTGTTTTTGTCATTTTTTCGTTACTTTTTTTCATTCTATCTTCATCTGGTTGATCTCCAAGCATCACATCTGGATCAAACTCATCATCGTTTCGTGGTGTTGTTACCGTTTCGACTACTGAGCCTGGTCTAGCCTCATGAAGTGATTTATGGAATATTTTCTTCAAATCTAGCGTGTTTATTCTTTCTTCTACATTGTTCAGTTCAATAAAATAGTCAACCAGAACAGAGCCCTCACTGAATCCGTCAATTCGAATATTTTTATACCATTTTCTTAAATTATCCGATTTCGAATACACAGAATTGAGCTGAAATTAAAATAAAATACTTATTTCTCTTAATTAAACTAAACGGCAATACTTATTGAAAATACAAGTACCTCTTCTTTGACATCTTTTGCAAGATTTTGCCATTCGTCGGTATGGTGATCTAGTAGTTCGGGTACCCACTTGACTCCTAAAATAGAAAAAAATAAACAATAAATGTTTTAAATACTTATTGTAATTTACAGTTTTCTACAGTGTAAAAAGAAAACATAAGAATGATGTTATTTATGTACCTGAAACAATTTTGATAGTAGCTGCTATATCACATTCTTTACGGCATACACCGGGAGTAGTCGAAGGTGGTGGTACTGGGGTCGTAGTTGTCGTAGTCGTGGATCGTCGTGTCGTTGCTTCAGTACTAAATTCAGGTAGTGGACTTGTAGCAGTTGCATTTCTCTGAGCTTCCAAGAGCTTTTCAATCGAAAATGGAGTTGTCGATGGTGAAGGCCAGCCCGTGAATTCAGTTGAAGCCCTATAATTAATAAAATAAATAATTGTGTTAATAGAGAAAAAAACAATATGCATTTTAACGTACGTGGTGGGATAAAAGTAACATACCTGGTGGGCCATCCCTTTTGTATCTTTGGTGTAACGGGTGATGGACCTAATGATTTAGGTGTAGTAGTTTTCCTATTGACTTTTCCTCCTGGTCTTGAAGGGAAAACTAATTTGATACCCCCTGGTGCTTTGGTTGTAGAACTAGACGAAACAGATTCTGTATCTGTATCATTTAATTTAAACCCTGGTGGTAATAAGTTGGAAACGTCGGCAACGGTCAATTTTACAATTGGACTTTCGTCTGAATTATTTTCTGTTCCGTTCAATTTGAAACCTGGAGGTAATAGCGCTCGGATGTCGACAGGTACTGCTATAGGTTTTATGACTTCTTTTGGTTTTGTCTCTGTTGTGGCGCTTAAATTAAATCCTTTGGGCAAAAATGCTGATATATCCACAGTATCTATATTATTCAACAAACTAACCGTTGTCGTTTGATTTATTAGTGGTGTTTCTGTAGGATTTTTATCGCTAGGTGGTAGCAATGTACTTGAATCGTGCTTTTGGATTTTTTTCACCTCTTCTTGTGATTTATGTTCTTTCGGTCTGTATTCTTTAGGAAGGAGTGATTTATCATCTAGAATAATAACCTTATTTTGACTATTTATTCCAGATGATCGTGCTTGCGTACTATTTATAATTGGTGCTCCATTAACACGAGGTCGAGATGTACTTGTTGTAGTCGTGGTCGAAGTAGTTCGCTTATCTTTGAACGATGATCTAGGTTTATATCCAGCAGGTAAGAGACCCACAGGCAATTCATCCATTACTGTAACTAATTTTTTCTTTGGTTTCGGTGTTGTGGACGATGTTACTCTAGGTGCAAACTTTTTGACCATTACTGGTAACGGTTCTGGTGCAGATCTAACTGTTGTCGACGGTGGCTGAGTACTCTTCAAGGTGAAAACATTTGGAACTGCAGGCGTGGTTGTTGTTGTTGTAGTAGTAGTAGTAGTAGTTGTTGTTGTGGTAGTGGTAGTAGTAGATGGTGTTGAAGTTTTTTCAGTTGTAGATTCTGTTATAAGTTCAATATTTTTGTTCTCGTTGTCTAAACTTCCTGATAAAACAGCACTAGATAATTCTGACTGTATACTATCTAATTTGTCATTAATGTTTTCTGTTGATGAACTACCACTGCTAGCACCAATGTCTTGTTTTGGGTCTCTGGTTACATTTTCTTGATCTTCTTCATCACTGTCATCAGCTAAGACTTGTTTCTTTTCTTCTTGTTCGACAGTTGGGAAAGGTAAAAATCGAGCACCGGAGACACTTCGACTTGTTTGCACTGAAGCAACAACAATCCAGCTTTCTGTTGTGATCGGTGATGAAGAATCATTCTGATGATTCTTAACTGTGGATAACATCGTATCAGTTTCTGTATTAATTTTTGCAGTACTAGGAGCATATGTTACATCAGGAATAGATATAGTACCATTCACAACACTTTTCGTAGTCACAACAGAAACTACTTCTTGTCCTAAAATAGATGGTGGCTCAATAGAAGTTATTTCTTCCGACACTGGTATATAAGTATTAGGACTTGTCAATTCTTTTTTACCATCTAACTGGTCTATTACTGTTGTGTCAACAAAATGCTTAAAGTTATCATCTTTAACCATTGTATTATTAGGATTCGTTACAAGGACATCGAAAGCCTTTGTCACGTTTGTTTCTACACCATCTGTGGAGCTTTCAGGCTCTTCCGTAGAATCGTAATCATCATAAATATCGGTTACATGTTCAGAGGAATGATGTGGCGTCTGCACAGTTGGTTTGACTTCCGAACTATCTACATCATCGTAATACTCAACAAATTCCTCGTCATCCAAGATATCATCATTATCCTCATCAACGTGTGTATTACTAGCAGTGGTAGTACTTGTTGATATAGTTGTTGGAGCAGGTGACGAAGAGCTAGTTGTTACTTTAAGGAATTGGCTTTTATCTGAATTAGGTACATTATCGGTATTCATATAACTAGCATCAGGCTTACTATCGTCAAATGCTTCAGAATCATCAGTTGTATTAGGTTTTATGACTTGAACGTCATGTGAACCCTGTGTGTTTTTCATTAATTCTCTAAAGGTACTTAAATCGCTAATTTCTTCTTCAAGAAGTGGTTCCAAATCTAATAAAGCTTTATATTCGGTAGAACTATGATATAATATGTTAGCATTCGTTTTTACCGGTGTCAAATTGTTTCTTGTGTGGAAAGGTGTATTTTGTGAATTCGGTTTATTATTGGCTAGCGGAGGAACAAAGTGCGAAAACCTTGCAGGTTTGCCATTCAATTTGGGCTTGCTAACAAGCTTAGTAGGATTGTAGGTTGTAACTCTGTGCTGATCGAATAGGTCTTGGTTATCAGTGTCAATATCTATGTCATCACGAATTAAATGTCCATTCTGAATGCTGGTTTTTAAACTGTTACTACCGTCAAATGGAATGTTTTTGAATCTATTATTTTGTAAGTAATCAATATCGGGATTGTTTAAAGTTATTTGACCCAGAAACGTTTCTGGTTTCGATGGATCGTTTTGATAAGCGACCGAGTGGATTTGTGAAACTTCAGGTCGTTTTGTAGAAGCTGGATGAAGTTGAAAATTATAAGGTAATGCAGGTCTAAATCTCTGCCGCTGCGGCGTGAATTCTGGTTGATTAATATAGTACTGGGCTCCAGATTGACTCCTTCCTGTAGGTAGTTGAAACGGTGATGGATTTTGATTGTAGTTTGGGCTAGGAAACCTTACGTTTCCTTGATTATAAAGCGGTTGTTGCGAGGGCCTTGGGATTCTATAACTATCACCGTGTTCAAAAAATGTCGTCGGTCGAACATTTGAAAATAAGGGGGGTTGAACTTGAGCAAAACTTCGTTCCACCAGTGGATAGTCGAAGTCATTTTCATCTGAAAAAGAAAACCAAAATGAAGCAATACTTAATAGTAGTAGTCATAATAACTTGTAATACGCATTTACAACTATGAAATCACAATAAAATATTTATACCTGCGCTACGTAGTAAAAGTCTACTTAGATTTAAGTTCAAGTATCTTTCTGCCATGTTGTACGGTCGGAAGCTTAGGCGGGTATTTTACTATTGACGGGGTTGGAAATTTGCAGATAGACGTCTATTATTACTTATTACATTAGATGGTGTTTACGTTGCTATTCAAATCGGTACTATTAAAAAATATTGAATTAACTGATACCGTGTTTTATTTTATTTACTTCATTTTAAAAGACAAAGCATTACCACTTTTTTGCTCCGTCCTATGAGAGAATAATATACTAATTGACTTTAGTTTTCTTTGTACAGAAACAATGCTATTGGAAACCATTTTGATGCAATCTGGACGAAACTTTTTCCTAAATATATAATATTTCATTGATCATAAAAATTAATAACATAAATTATAGCTACATATGAATATGTTACTTATCTATCTGCTTATTTGTAATGTTCGCGCATTACTGTTTTGCGTTTACGTGTAATCGAAAGATATGACGCTTCAGAAATTATAAAGAACATGTAAAGCGAATGAAGTAGCTATAATATATTCTACTTAGAATACACGTTTGCTTGGCGAATATAAGTTACGATTTGGAACAGGCGACGTGTCGCGAAAATATTCCTCGAAAAAATGAAGATACGCCGGATCCTAATCACATTTTATGGCACCGTCGCCAAATTATTATGCCCTCGGTTTCGGCGTCCACATCGTCGGAAGAGATAATCTCGGGGAAATTACTTTCTTGCGGATCATATCCCTAATTAAGAATGGCGGCGGTCCTCATCAGGGTTCGACTTGAAGCATCGTTGAGCGTAATAGGAAATCGATAAATTGGCTCGCTCATAAACTACACGAGTCTCAGGGATCAAGTTTTTAACAATGTAACCGATTATTAAGGTTATCGTTGCCGCGATTTAGCTTTTACTTACGTTTGGTTTTCGAAGTTGTAACGAGGTTGATAAAAACAGCTAAAAATTAAGTAAATCTATGTCTTAGATATCTTTTTGTCTGGGGATCTTTGGTTTCAGTCGTGTTTCAGTTCTGGTTATTGGAAGTATTCGAGTGACTTTGACAAAAACAATCTACAATAGTCGAATTATGAAATCGAATTCGTTGACTAATTAGCTGTCAGTTTCAAAAGGATCAAAGGAATCGTTCCCAGTGCGGTCTTGGAGACGTCGATACATTTTTCCGATGAAGTTAGCTGCTGCGAGAAGTGAAATTTCCCCCGGGATGTGCCATGTTTTGAGGTTATATCGCGCCGAGGCTAATGTTTGCGAGTCGATGTTTGCTTTAGCTTTGGACATAGTGTTAATGTACGGTTTATTCAATCCCTTTCAGAGACCAGTGTTTGTGTTAGCTAACGCGTTTTATGTCTTGTTTCCATAACCTATATTGTGTTGGTTAAAATAATAAAAACATTAAAAGATTTTAGGAAAATACTGTAAAGTTAAAATCTTAAAAGTATTGTCATTTTATTGAATCAAATTTGATTGTACGATTTTAAAATACCTATGATAAATGATGTAAAGATATTAGCGTAGCGTTCGTGGTTCCTTACGCGATAGGATAAAATATAAGTTTCCAAAGTTTTAGTGCAAACACCAACAATAATCTCATGTAACACCCTTACATTTACCTAAGTGCTCTTTATAGTTTTCCATTATTGCATAGCAAGAACTTTAGTTTACTTATGGCGTTGTGATGATCCCAGTAGATATTAATCTCACTAGTCTATTACCACAGTCTGTTTGGACAGGACCGTGTTCTGCGGTTGCAAATCTTTAACGATCTTAACTTAACTTATGTTAACAGGAATTGCCATTAAAGTTGGAGACTGTTGAAAGTGATTATAATATTTTCCAAATTATTTTTATTTAACATATTTTAGCGTCTAGGAAAGACAATCACAGAAAGTTTTGTTTGTTTTTTTATGTGATTATTGTGAGTCTGTATGCTTGAAGGGTGGGATTGCCGTTACGTAGTGCAATTGAGACTGCAATCTCACGTCTCAATGTAGGTAGTGGCATGCATTTCATGATGCCCTTGGACTTCGGTAACCAATTAATAGAAAGTCTTTCACATGTCTGAGAAAATAAAGTGCATTTTCTGTCGGTCTAATGACGCAGGATTTCCATGTAACACAGTAACTATTTAACAATGCGGTTGGGCCGTGGCTTGGCCAATCAGAAGAAGAATCGCGCGTCTTAAAGGTATTAAACCAGTTAAACCAGTAACTGCATTTGAACTTCGACCTCATATCCCGATGTGGACGGAAGAATTTATGTTGTTGCTTCTAAAAAAATTGGAGACCGCTTTGGACTAAATTGACTGAAGGCATCTTGGCTAGTGAAACAAAGCCAGATAATGGTAAAAATGTGTTAAAGTAACGTATTCGTACTAATTTTATTAAAGGCTAAAGTGGGAATGGGCCTGTCACGTCTATCGAGCCAACGACGCCAGGTGGGGGAGGAAAGTCCTAGAATGGAGGCCACGGATGAGTACCAGGAGCGTGGCGCGCCCTCCAACCAGGAGGACCGACGACTTAGTGCGCACGGCGGGAAGTCGTTGGATGCGGAAGGCGGAAGACCGCATTCTGTGGAAGGCATTGGGGAAGGCCTATGTCCAGCAGTGGGCAAATAAAGGCTGACGATGATGATGATGATGATGATGATAACTAATTTTATTTTGTTTTTAAAAATCGCAACATTAAAGTCTGCAGCAATACGTAATTGTTATTGTTTATACAAAAGCGGGACAAATTAAATAAATCGCGAGTAATTAGAAGGGCGCACTTGTACCCTGAGCACACCTGCACCTGACGTGTATGAAAGGGACTCTCAACTTTATGGCTATACACTCGGCGTTTTTATGACTTTGCTTTTTACATTTTAAAACTTCCGCATGCAGGGAATTATCAGTGTGTATCTACAAAATAAAAAAGGTATGTCATTACATAACAAGTATGTTTGAAGTGCTTAGAAAAACTTTTCAAGTCGAAGGACAAGAACTACAAGAGAAAATTGAAAAACAGTATTAAAAGCGGTGAACCCGCTGAAATTGTACTTAAACATTTTCTATTTCGTTTCTTTTAGCATTTAATACATTAGTATAAGAATGGTGAGAAGGGTTGCAAGTTGTGTGCTTGTTATCTATCTCCAATTATTATTTCTGCCGCGAAGAAACTATGTACCCGGCTGAAGAGCAGGATATCCTTTGAATTAATTCCGCGGATACTACGACGTCATATCTCAAGGTGGGCGATGGTATTTAGAATGTAACATGTATAATCTCCGGTAATAATAAAAAAAAATTGGAACCAGACTGAAAATACATTTTTTCATCTTCACTAAACATTACACGTTACAAAATGTAATTGACATTTATTTGACAAATGACGTAGCGCAATCCAATTCGAAAATAATGAAACAGGTTGCTTTTTCCTGGCACAAACAGTTGCTGTGATTCAAGAACTCCAGTCCATAAATCGCCAGTCGATTTATAGATCCGTTGGTACAAACCCGACCCCGCGGAAGATGTACCCGAAATTTTCATGTTATTTACATTACCTAAAAGGCTTTTTTACAGTGCGAATTTAATAGTGCGAAAATTCACCCAAAACTGTTCAGCGATATTTAAACTTATTTTTAGCTGACTTCAAAAAAGGAGGAGGTTCTCAATTCGACTGTAAGTTTTTTTTATGTTTCTTACCTCATAACTTTTGACTGGGTGAATCGATTTTGATGATTGTTTTTTTATCAGAAAGCTGACGCTTTCCGCTTTCCCATTTTAATTTAGTCCAGTTCTGATAATGGTATCCATGAGAAAACCAGAAAGTCATAAATTTGCATTAAGGACATGTGCGACAAATTGATGAACAACACAATAACTCAAGCCAACCGATTTCGATGATTATTGTTTTTAGTGTATACTAGCGACCCGCTCCGGTTCCGCTCGGGACTTTAACAACAATTTCAACGATATTTGACGTTGTATAATATTTATTATTTTTTTAAATAAAAGAACACTTATTGCGGCATAACTATAATAGTTATACATAAGCTGTCGCGACACTCGTTGTAAATGATAATGTGTTCTACAAAGTCGTAGCACATTATTTTATTTATTCTATCATGAATAATTTTCGCAGGGCACGCGATGTAAAGAATATTTTAGGTAATTTTTTTACACCTTGGGTTACATTATTGGAGCTTTAGTAAGGATCACTAACTTTTTTCAAAAAAGACTACAACCTATGTCACTCGGGAATAGTGTAGCTTCCAAATAGTGAAAGAATTTTTCAAATCGGTTCAGTAGTTTCGGAGCCTATTCAATACAAACAAACAAACCAATCTTTCCTCTTTATAACATTATTATAATAAAGATTAATTTGTTTTGGAATATATATTTTTTTGTTATTTGAAGTCAGTTTTTGTTAAAGCATGTCTATTTACAATTATTAATCCATTTAATTTAAGTTCAAGTATCTTGTTCGTGTCGTATTTCTCGTAAGCACCGTGAGCCCCCTTTCTAGAAGCTCCAATAAAAGGTCAAATAAGGTCATGTAACAAAAGGAGATTTTCGTATATCCTAACTTATAGTGCGACTTCGAGTATTGTTTAATACGAGGTCATGAAGTCCTCTGCCAATGAAACTAATGACGAAGTTAATTGTGGTATAAATATGTGGTCAACAGTATTTCGACTTGTGATATTAATGTAAGGTATGTAGATATTTATATACATAATATGTGTTTATTTATTCGTAAAATATTATCATAAAGAAGAGTTGTGTTTTAAGCAAGCCTAATACTAAATAAACAACTTGGTTATTGTTCTACACCTTTATAACTTTTAATATTAAAACAATTCCTGTTACGGGATCGGTGTATCAATAACTTTTATCCTTCGTGAGAAGGGTTAGCGCAAGGCAGCTCTTGATAAAGGAATTTGTAATAAAATAGGCCTCCGCAAAAATCGATCACTCTTATTTTTGGCTCGTGAAAAACACGAAATTTAACGAATTTCTCAACATTGCTGTTACTTAAATAATTACATTCACCGAAATTTATTATTATATCGGATTTGTTTGTACAAGAGACCACGATTTTAAACTGCAACTAGATTTTTTAATTTGATTGCTGTAATTTCTAAATAGTTTCTCTGAGTATTGTGTACTCAATTTTTCTTAAAACCTACGTGAATAAATGACTTCATATGACAAGACGTGGTCTACAGTCTACACATACATTTTATATCTGACTTCTTACTAGTACCAACGTCAGGGGAAGTTCGACACGGGTGGGTGGAATCCGCCTAATAAATGCCACCTACCCATATATTTTGGAAAAGGATCACGTTTTATATGGCATTTATCTTGCCCCTATCCACTATGCGGTATTGGATATTGGCAAAATAGATTCCGTAAGAGCACCTTATGTAGTTCATTCACGTATGCCGTTGATATCTCTAAGTCAGACCCGTCCTTTGAACGGGCACTACGAGTACATCCTGTCACATGGTGTGCGTTCACATGACTTTTCTTTTATGTTTTTTTTACGATTTATCATTTCAATATTATAATATAAATATCGTTGCTTTTCTATTATCTTACTGCTACTTAAGTATATTGTTCTGAAGGTATTGTCGACATTATTTAATCAAAGAACTAAACATGCTTTTACCTTTTACTATAAGTTAGTGTTTTGGGTGATATAGAGATAAATTAATCTAGAACATGCAGTAAATTTAGAGCAAGTTTCATCTATAATGAAGTCTGTTCCGGACAACCAATAGGTGAAAGAATATAAATATTCATAGCTACGATAAGGGCGTGTAATTAAAAATGGTTAATCGTAAATCAAAACTATCAAACTCTTTCTTCTCCTACTTTTATCTCACTTACGGCACAAAATGATATGCATTATTTGATTACAATATGGATCTTAAAACGTCACGAATTTCTAAATTTGAAATGTCAAATCCGTGCTTTTTCATTCTAATTAGGGTTTTATTCGTTTATAAACAACATCGGCCTAAATTTTGTGGTAATTTAAAGGTCAAATGAGCTAAGTGGAATTGGTTGCATGTTTTCTTCCTGTATTCTATGAGACAATTAAAAGCACTTTTGCTGTTTACTCTCACGTTTTTTTGTTCTTAAATATCATATTATTTGAATAGTTTACAGTTTTCGTGGTCACGGACGTCAAAATGCCTGACCGCATGACACTATATTATATTCCTTCGTATATTTCGTCTTTTGATATTCCTTCGCATGCTTACGACTGACCAAATCCGAAGAAAATACTATATTCTATTATGTGAGTAATCTTTGAAAAGGTGTTCATAATCTACGGTGATCATACGTTATTAGGTCGTATGTCTTGGTAGCGGTAGTATAATTACTATAATTTTTAAATAGCATCAAATTTAAACTAATTAATTGTTTAGTATTTATATAAATATCCGATCGATGTAAAGTTTCATTTCAAATATTTATCTCTGATAGTATAGGACTAAATAAAGAGAATCTTCAGTATACTTCTTCAAAGAACAAGGAATGCCTTTTAAACCTATTTAAATGTATTTTACAACACGTATTTAAATAAAAAATAAAACACTTTCTGGAATCAGTTGAAATTCAGTCTTATCTCGGCTTAGGTGCATTTCCATAAATCTACCTACACATGACGCCCAAGAATTCTACATTATGCTAAAATATAAACTGCGGTGTGTGGAACTACTCTAGAATAATAAATAAATAGAGCGAGCGCCCGTGGTTTCTGTCGGCATGTGGGCGACGGACTTGCACTGTCCGCCCACATCTTTGGACAAACACGGACTATATGTCGTTTTGCCTATTTTGCTAGTAGTAACGCTAAATCTAGTAAGCCGACGTTGCAAGGTCAAGCGACTTTTTTTGTACGTCTACGTTCTGAAAACTACACGCGATAAAAAAACAAATGTATTCCAAAAAAATGTATTATTACTGGTGGTAGGACCTCTTGTGAGTCCACGCGGGTAGGTACCGCCAACCTGCCTATTTCTGCCGTGAAGCAGTAATGCGTTTCGGTTTGAAGGGGGGGGGGGGGGGCAGCTGTTATAACTATACTTGAGACCTTAGAACTTATATATCAAGGTGGGTGGCGCATTTACGCTGTGGATGTCTATGGGCTCCAGTAACCGCTTAACACCAGGTGGGCTGTGAGCTCGTCCACCAAATAAAGCAATAAAAAAAAATTTAAAATAGGATTTAAATCGTCAAAATATTTTTTATAGCATTCGTTTGTGAGTTAACAATATAAAGCATTGTATAAATTCTATTCTTATAGCGTCTTGTCGTATAATGGTAAAATCGAGAAATTTGATTCGATCGCTTGCGATGAACGAAATAAAAGATTTTGTTTGAGTTGCCTCAAGATAATTGCGAGACAAAGCCCTATTTTTGGTTGAAAAGAATCTTCGAAAAGAAAGATAGGTATATGTTGTTTCAATACAGTTCTATAATTCACTGCATTATCTATATTCGACGCTTGAAAGGCATACGTGACTAAGCAACAATGCGTGAACTTTACAGTAGACTAATTTAATGTTGTAATACCTGAAAACAAAATTTATTTTAATGAATCTAGCTGTAGTAGAATCTAGCTAGTAGCTCTAGGATTGAAACGATTTTAATAGACCTAGAAATATATTTGTTTTGCGCATCAAATATGGTTATTGCCTATCATTGATGTACAAAGCAGTTATTGTCGCTTAGTCACGTTTGCCTTTCAAGCGTCGATATGTTCTTTGTGTTTGATCAATGAATGGCCAGTAGATCCGCCTAGCCTGGGCGGTTTAAATTTTATTACATCTGTAATCTGTAATCATCTGATTAGCGAAGGAGCTCATGGCTTTTTACATCAAGTTTTTTTTAATCTATGATTTTTTTAAGTAACTGTAAAACAATAACATTCACGTGAACAATAAAATTATTCTCAATCATATTTTCTATATGAATAGGACTTTTATTTGTTTGATGTAAGTTGTTATTAAATTTAAAAGTAAAACATTTTTGAACATTGAAAAAACAACTTCGTCATTGTAATGATTTTAATCGGCTTTCCTCGACATTTCCACGTTCCCACTACCAATATTGAAATATTATGTTCTCATAAGTCACGTAGGTCTAGGGGTAGAGGTCCCAAACGATGGTCGGACCAAATAGTGGAGGAACTGGGGATACCTGTCAACGACGCACTCCACCAAGCTACAAAACGGGATCGATGGAGACAGTTGGCTGACGGAATCGAACGGAGTCACGATCCTCAGCAGTGAGGGACCGACCGAAGAGAGAGAGAAGTCACGTAAGTCCGAGTTTTATTATACTGTTTTTACGGTAGGATTCTTTCAGATTATTCTTTAGATGACCTTTAAAAGAGTTCTTAGTAGTGGCACAGCCCTGGTGCCTCTGAACTTTTTATGTGAGACTTAACGTTAACTTAGAAAGGAGTAGATTAAGGTTCATCATTCTTTATTAGCAAAATTAAAATGCTGAACGGATATTTTCCTTCCATAAACATCCTAAAATGCTAAATGAGTCCAGTCTTTCTCAAATTACCGCTTATCAAACAAAATGTTTTGTTTAAATAGACGACTCTTACCTTGACATTGCGTGTCTTTTATAATAAACAGCAAGAAGGCTGCGATCGTCACGAACCTCCATCGTCGCCGCCCCATCTTTGTTTTAGATCAATTTTCACCGTTTCATTTAAAATAATGTTTTATATCGCTAAATTAGCGAATTTCAATGAGTAACTTGCAATGTATTTTGTGGCTTTGCCATAATTGGCATCAATGAAATCGGTAAGCTCATTGAATATATGTCACGGAATGCTGTCACACCTGTAACAAAAAAGAAACGAGACATTATAGACACATGCTTACAAGAATAAGTGGGCGAGAATAAGATCTTAACATTTTATTTATGACTTGAAATATGTTATTCGTAAGACGTTTGTTTCATTGGGAAACTATGAATTTGATATTAAAAACCCTAGAGTCTTGATAGTTCGTGTGAGCTCTTAATAAAACCTTCATTTTTAAATCTCAAAATAAATGTATAATGGAAACAACTGACTTACTGAAAATAACACATGCATTTACTGCGCATTATATTAAAATACTTTTGTAAAAAACTATTATACAATTTGATGTGATCGTAAAATTGTTTAAAATTTGCAACACATCGTAAATTTATTCGTAAAGCTATCTATATTGCTCGTGACACTGTGAGCCTGCACGGGCTTCGGACGGGGACCGATCCTCCTACAGGGGCTTAAGGGGGCGTGTGGGATATTTGCGTCTCGAAGGCCGAAGATGGTATCACCAACCTGCTCATGTCAACCGTCAAGCAGTCATGCCTTCCGATTTTCTAGGTTAGGATAGTGATTATAGTATACAATTAGGACACCAGGTGAACCGTGAAATTATTAAGCAAATTAGTCGCAGAAAATAATAAGGAATATAAACAATAGATCAATTGATAAATAAGCACAAGGGCACGACCTAAATATACAACCTTCAACAAACTCTGTCGCCAAAATCATTAAGCCTTAAATTGAGTGCGTCCCATCAACTGCGAAAGCGAAGACGAGGTGTCAGGTAGTGGTTAAACTTTACAGATTAGTTGCTGAAGTGTGTCAATAAACGATCCAATACTGTTAAGGTTTATTAGTACATGGTCCTCGGGCTGTCACCCTCAATACAAACTTTGCTCGAATCGTGCCGTGCACCACTTGAGTCGATCTCGCGTGACCACAAGGACTTCGCTTTTGCCTTATAAAGAAACTTTAGCGGTAGGCGTACGTACGGTAGGGCCAATAATTGACGTGATCATAATTATTGTGCGAGTAATGAACATAAACACGACAGGTTTTGATAATCGTTGAATATCGCCGGATAAAGAGTATGGAGTATCAGTTTAAGTTTGATATATTTGAATATATGTATTTGTGTTATTTTACGTGTAAAATTGTTTTTAAATAGAAATAGGTAGATACGACGTGCCATCATCCATCTTAGAGTCGAAGTCTCAATCTTATTGAATTCACAGGACGCTCTTCTAGAACTTATGTCAGTATTAGAAATTAGAAGATATTCGGAGAGAGATAATAAGTGCAAAAGCATTTGCTGTAAAACAATGAGAAGTACATGGTACTATCAGTTTGTAAAGGCCTGGATTGCAAGGATCACTGTTATCATATAAAATTCTTTGTCTTTTCAAAATAGGTCGAACACTTTAAAATTTAAACCCCATTTGGTTTCTTTGTCTAATTTGTTTTTTACTTGAAGATATCTTGATCCACATCTACAAGCATTGCCACCGGTTGTTTGAGAAGATAAGGTAACCGCCCTTATATAATTTAAAACAAGTTTGCCGAGAATCTGTACATTGGTTTTCAATTGCGTAACACATAAGAATTCAGATAGTGTTCAGAGAAAGTAGTAGCGCGCCTTATCCTAATTGTGAGAAGTGAATAAATCAAATTTTAATTAGCATAAATTATGGACATTGTTATGGTCCTACTTCCAAATCTGTTTGTAGAAAGCAGTAGAGTATGGCCGACTATTTTTCGTACGCACGCGCAGCACTGCGTCCGTGGTCGCCTAATACACTAGGACAGTGATTCAAAGATTCCATAGCTGTTCTTAACATTCGCTAAAACCATTTTTTAATAAATAAACGAAATAGTGTTAGAAGAATAAGAGCCACAATTTTTTTAATTTCTGATAGCTAATGGTTAGTTCGTATAAGAGAATTTTCCCCAAAGAATTATCTAATGTGTTTGTTAAAATTCATCAACTCATTAACTTTACAAACATGTACACAAACAAGTATCTATTGAACTGGAAAACGTTAAACTTCTACGGCAATAGTCGAGTAATAAACAAAAAAAAATATGTCAAAAAATTATTCTTATTAACTATTGATTTCGGACGCCTAATCAGTATTTGTAGAAAGGTAAGGTGAGCTAGTCGCAACTTCCGGCATTGCGTCCGTGTGATTTTGTTCACAATTATGCAGTGATTGTTCTTATTGTTGAAGCCCATGTGGCTATTGTAAGTTTTACGTAACACAATCACGGTATATTGACAAACGGGTCGGCTGCTTTGTTGTTTCGTGTTTGCAAAGCTGAGAAAATTCATCTCTAGGCATTGAGGATAAAAAAAATCGGTTGTCGTCTGTAAAGTTTACTGACGATAGTTGAACGTGACAACGTCATAAGAAAATACTGACGGAATGGTTTCATTTTTCAAAAGAAAATTTTAATTTAATTTGTTTGATAAATATTTTGTATGGATATAGAGAAGGAGGTAAATGGAAATCACTATTGAATTGATCGTGACGCTTCAATTTCTCTCATGACGTTTTCAATCTTCAAATAATTGGAGAAATTTATTGCCAGTTTAGCCACGTGATCGTGGAACGCCTCAGAGCGAGGTAACGCCGCATGAGTCATGTTTTTTCGTGCGTGCAGCCGGCTCCATCGAATTATAAGACGTTGTCATGTCAAAAATTTAAGTTGAATGAACGTGCAATAATAACGGTAACCATATGACCCTAAATGTGATACACGGTAATGATGTCCAATAATCGAAACGTCATCAATCATTTTATAAGATTTGACAAAGTCAAAATATCAGAATAATATAATTAACAACACTTTACGGTCTGAGTTTGTATTTATTTTATGGAATTTGTTTTCTGACGTTTTAATTACAGTCACCCGCTTTGTCCGTTGTTGCTTATCTTTTGGACGATGGAATTTACATAATATATTCATATACTCGTACTTTACATATATGCATAGGTTGAATACAACAAGAGGTAGTGAAATGTATCGTGACGTCATGTTCGCGTCACGTAGCCGGCGGCGTGTCGATGCCGTGAAAGCGGCGCGTTCTGCCTCGTCGAACAATTTCACGTAAATACACAAATACACTCAGATACGCCTTTGATTTTTTTTTTCAAATAATTACCGTTTCTTTTTTGAAATCTATGGACAGACTAGTCTTGTTAACGTGCCCGACTAAAAAGAAGTAGAGAAAACGACAAATATTTATTTTATCCTCATTTTGTATTTTTAGTAAATTAAATGTTGTTTTCTTGGTAATTTTGGTACCCAACATTATTTGAGCAAGACGTAGACTAGAACCATAGATAATACACTTAATATTTAAGACTAGAACTATCTGTACCTGTCTGTCTGTCAGTTTGACCCTGTCTGTCACTGTGACTATTATTCCGTGATTATTCCACGCCTGTTTATATTATATATAACTAGCTGACCCAGCAAACGTTGTGTTGCCTTAAATAAGATTTCTAGAGAAATTCTACTGTAGAAAAAAAACCTCATTTAACCACATAATACCTCATTATAAACAAAAAAAAAAAAAACCAAAAAATTAAAATAAAAAGTAAATGTTTGGGGTGGACAACCCTTTTCACTTAGGGGTATGAAAAATAGATAGTAGCCGATTCTCAGATCTACTGAACATACTATTGATACACAAATAAAACCAAAAAAACACGGCTGAAAAATGTATAGTATTGTGTATATAGCTCTTAAATATATTAAGTGTATAAATCTATGATGTATAGTGAGTAAGTAAGACAGGAGACCGGCTTCGTCCTCATCCCTACTACGTGATGTTTGCTGGATGAGTGGTGACACCTGGCGGGGATAGCTGATCGATTGATAGTTGATCAGTAGTCGACCGGCGAGGGCGAGAGATCAAATTGAATTTAAAAAAAATCATAATTGAAGAACTTGAAATTATAAACTCTGAATAAGAATTTATCGTACTACAATTATAATATTTGATTGCCATCTTGCAAACTTATTGCAGATCTGTGCATAGAATAAAAAAAAAATTAATCGGGATGGAAAAATAGGGGTTGATTGTATAAGAGTGAAAATTGACAGTAATATGATTTTTTTTTATTTTAAGTAATGACAAAACAAAATAAAAAACTTGACAAAAAAATTAAAGTTTATAATTAACAAATAAAAAAAGGGGTTGATCATAGAGGGATGAAAAATTGAGAGTAACATCAGATTTTTTATTTTAATTCATGACAAAATAAAAATAAAAATGAAAATCTTGCCAAAAAAATTAAAGTTAACAGATAAAAAATAGGGGTTGATCGTAGAGGGGTGAAAATTTCAGAGTAATATGAATTTTATTATTCTACGTCATGACAAAATAAAAACAAAATTCTCGCAAAAAAATTTAAAGTTTTTAATTAGTAAATAAAAAATAAGGGTTGATCGTAGAAGGGTGAAAATTGAGGATTGTATGTATTTTTGTATGTTGTATCATAAAAAAATAGAAATTAAAAATTTTGACTAAAAAATTAAAAAAAATATTTAGGGGTGGACTACCCCTAACATTTAGGGGGATGAAAAATAGATGTTGGCCGATTCTCATAGATACCGGATAAGCACAAAAAATTTCATCAAAATCGGTCAAGCCGTTTCGGAGGAGTATGGCAACGAAAACTGTGACACGAGAATTTTATATATTAGATAATGTCGAATTTTTTTTTTCATTTGACATTATTATATTAAAACGTGAAGCGAAAACTTTGTATCTCTTTTTACGAAAATTGCGCGGACGGAGGAGTATACGTTACGAGGATACGTTAAATCAATTAAGAAAACATTACACACACT